TGGACTATTTATTGCCTCTCCAGCAACAAATGGGCCAAGAGGAGACCAACCCAGGGCTAGTGCCCAATGCCCGGGGTTGAGTCAGACGCCTGTGAGGATGGGAGGGCCCTTGTCTGGGCAGCAGGGTCTGGCAGGGTTATCTGGTGGGCACCAAGCCCTGGTGACAGATTGACACCGCCAAGCCAGCTTGGCTGGTCACCAGGAGTCATTTTCTTTGTTACCAGGCACTGTGCTGGAGGCCAGGATGAGGCCATTGAGAACCCCAGGAGGCAGGTTCCCCAGTGTAAACATAATGCACAGCACAGGCTAGAGGTACTGTGGGGGGGTAAAGTGTGGGTAGAAAAAGCCATTGAAGCTCAAAGGAAGGAGCTGTCGTAGTGCAACGCTGTCCAGCAGAAATATAATGTGAACCTAATGCATTATTTTAAATTTTCAGAAGGCCACATTAAAAAGTGCAAAAATGAATTTTAATGACTTATTTAATCCAAATGTAGTCAAAATATTATAATTTCAACATGTAACTGAACAGAAATCATTGAGATATTTTACATTCTGTTTTTTGAAATCCAGTGTATATTTTACATATGTAGAATACATACATTTCGTTTGGTATTGGCCATATTTGACGGGCTCAGTAGCCACATATGGCAAATGACTATGGTACTAGACAGAGCAGAGGGACTGTCACCTCCTCTGGGAATGGACCCAGTACCACCCCAGGCCTCTGGGTCCCAGCTCATCTGACCAGGTTCTCTGGCTGGAGGCTGCAGCTGGTGCGGGTAGGGCCTCTGGTTCCATTGGGAAGAGGGCTTAGAGGTAGAAGAAGCAGGAAGGCCACAAAGTTGGAACAAACGGAAGAGAGAAAACCTTTTACGTTCCAAGTCCGGAGCGAGGAACAACCTGGAGGCCCGCTCGCGCCCGCGGCCGGCGGAACGGTGGGTGTGGGACGAGGTGGCGTGGAGCCCGGCCGGGGATCAGAAGCCCACAGGCCCGCATTGTTCGCCTGTCACACTTCCTTTGGCTTTATTGCTTTTGTCCAACACCCTATTGTCTGGTTTCCTTTTGTCCCCCTTTCAGTGCTGCTGCCTTTTATTTTCCAGCCAGCCTGGTTGTTTTCATTTCTTTTGTCTGAAGTTCCTGAGAGGAAGGTTTTCTTTTCAGCGGTTTGATTAATTCACAGCTTGAGCCCGGGGTTTGTTTGTTATGTAATTGCTGCCCTCAGCTCCAGGATAATGCCCCTTCCCTGGCTTCCCCCACCCCCACTTCGCACCCGCCCCCACAAGCTTGGGGCCTGGCCGGAGTGTCCCTCCCTGTGCCCGGATGGGCTGGGCCGCCGGCTTCCTTGACGCGCTCCAGGCCCCTGGCGGTGGGAAGGGGACTCCGGAGCTGGATGAACTGAGCTGAGGTCTTGTCTTTTCTCAGAACCTAGGTGGGATGGGGCCGCCGGTCTTAGGGCGAGATAGGCCCCTTTCTCCTCTCCCTGCAGTGCCCACCTTTGATTCCAGGCCAGCTCCTAGGGCACCTTGCATTTTGAAAGTGGGTAGGCAGGAGAGGCAAGTTTGGTCTGATCTGTAAGGTGGAACCAAATCAAATACATGTCTATATCTCATTCAACTCTAATGCTCTTTTAGTTATTTAAAAATACTGTACATGTACTCGATTATATAGAGCTCTGTGGCATTGCATTTTTTCATTTATACATGTGTTAAGAAACATTTAGGAGCTCTGGTGGTGTAGTGCGTAAGACATTTGACTGCTAACCAGAAGGCTGGCAGTTCAAACCCACCAGACACTCCTGGCAAGGAAGATTGGGTAATCTACTTCTGTAGAGATACTGTCTGGGAAACCCAAGGAGGAATTGCCATGAGTTGCAATCAACTCGAGGGCAGTGAGTTTTTTTTTTTTTTTTTAGAAACATTTAACTGGATAGTTAATTACAATAAAAAAATGTACCACTTCTGCACTTTAATTCAAAGAATATTTTACTATGCCTGATTTTACATGCCCCCTAAAAATTTAATTCCCATGAAATATTAAAAAAGTTTATTTTTTTCCCTTTCTTTAGCTGTGCTTCTCAAACTTTCCAAAGTAGATCTCCAGGCCTTTCTTCGTAGGTGCCTTGGGTGGATTCAAGCCTCCAACCTTTCAGTTAGCAGCCAGGCAATTTAGCCCTTTGCACACACCACACTTTCTGAGTAGCAATGATTTAACAAATGCTAGTGTTTCTTTCTGTTGGACATAGGGTGGCTATCAGTCAAAATTGACACGACAGCACCTAACAACAAAAACATCATAATGATGCTTACTAATACTTTGCACTGTTCCAACATTTTACAAATATCTAAGAACCTTAAAAATATCCTCTCATAATCTCATAACAGTCCTATGAGGTAGGGACTCATCCTCATTTTACAGACAAGGAAAATGAAGTGTGGTGGAGAGGTTAAGTAACTTGCCCTGGAGTCTAGGCTTCTGCAGTCCTATCTCTGGATGCTTGCCCAGTGACTTTGAACGGTGGGGAGGTGAGCTATGGGCACCTGCTGCTCTGGCCCTGAGCCTGACACGACTGCTGGAAACTGCTCCCCAAGAGCCTGTGGTTTTGCAGCTGCTCTAGCTACCCCAGCCGGAGGTGCGACAGGAAGGAGGCAGCAATGCAGAGCGGTCAGAGACTGAGTCTGTATAGTCCGCCGGGTAAGTCAGCTGCTTAAATTCAAATGCCTACAGGGGCCAGACTACATGAGAGACTAGCTAGACAGAAAAAAAAAAAATTGTCTTAACCCACTCATTCTCTCAGGCTGTTGTTACTTTTTTCCCTCAGCTTCCGGCAAATACATGGATATAAGATAATCTTCACTTTAATCTTAACTCTTCTGATAACCCACCCTTCATAAGTGTATGTCTTAGTTTGCTAGTGCTGCTATAACAAAAACACCACAAGTGGGTAGCTTTAAAGAATAGGAATTTATTGTCTCATAGTTTTGGAGTCTAGGAGTCTGAATTCAGGTTGATGGCAGGACTATGCTCTGGCTAAAGTCCAAACCAGGGCATCTGCACTAGAGGAAGCTTCTTTTCAGCTCTAGTAGACCTGGGCTAGTAGACTTGGGCGTTCCTTCTTGGCCTTCTTTGGTTTGTAGATGAATCCTCACATGGTCTCTTCCCTTTTTTTCAGAAGGGATTAAGTTTAGAGCTAACCCTGCTTTGGTATGTCCTTATTAACATAACAAAACCAAAACCCAAACTCTTCTGCCAGCAAGTAGATTCCAATTTACAGCTACCCCCATTGGGTTTCCAAGACTGTAAATCTTTATGGAAGCAGACTGCCCCATCATTTCCTGCAGAGTGGCTAGTGGGTTGGAACCACCAACCTTTCAGTTAGCTTCCAAGCATTTTAACCACTGCACCACCAGGACTCCTTCTTCAGAGAAGTAGTTGAATGATACCTTCCATTTTGGGGAGACATAGGGACTAAGACATGGGGAGTGATGGGGATTAAGATAAACTGGCCTGCTGCTCAGTTCCAGCCAATTGTTGACAAAAGCCAACTTCAAGAGAAGTCGAAATCCTGATTTTTATGTGACATCTATTTAGTTTTAAATTTTGGTAACTAATTACAAATACCACGAACTCTGGTGGCAAAGTAGTTAAAGCATTTGGCTGCTAACCAAAAGGTCAGTAGTTCAAACCCACCAGCCACTCCAGGGCAGAAAGATAAGGGAGTCTGCTTCCATAAAGATTTATAGTCTTGAAAATCCTATGGGACAGTTCTACCCTGTCCTGTAGGGTTGCTATGACTTGGAATTGACCCTGTGGCAGCGGGTTTTGGGTTTAATTGCAAATACACACACAAACATCGACACATACCCATATATGTATATGCACTTGACCCTTGTTACAGGCAGATTCTGTATTCACAAATTCATGTATTCACTAAAAATACCATGTCAGGACATTCCTACCTGAGATAGAACAAGGGTCGAACAAGACTGGAACTCTGGCTGAAGGCCTGGCTGCACTTGCTGTACTTGTAGGGCTTCTCGCCACTGTGGCTGCACAGGTGCTGCGTGAAGCTGGACCAGCTGTGGAAGCGTTTGCTGCGCTGACTGCGCGCATGGGGCTTCTGATCCATGTGGATATGCTGGGGCCTAGACAGCAGTGAGTTGTATTTGAAGCTCTTGCTGCAGGTCTCAACAGCAGTGCAGCTTTCCGTCCTATGTGCTGCCCTGTCTGTCTCTGGGGGTCTCAAGGTAGAAGCCCCTTCAACTCATAGGGCTGCAGACCCTTGCTCTGAACTCAAGGTCCAGTCCCCTCAACTACAACAGCCAAAGAAGGATAGGTTCCAGTGCCGCTGGGTCAGGAACAAACACTCCGCACACTCCTTTGCCCTCTCTTCCCAGCTGGGAGCACCGTGCCTGTGAAGAAGGGACGACCCTGGCGAGCATACCGCAAAGAGCAGCAGTCACCTGGGCTCAAGCCCACAGCTCCACACAAGCCGTGTGACCTCAGACATTACATGATTTGGAGGTTGTAGGAATACCATATGTTCACACAACATCCAAATCACATTACGTACTACTTCACAGAATGAATCATGAACGTTAAGCGGCATATACCTGTATATATATAATCTTCGAGTCTTTTGGGCTCTACGGACTTCTTTATATGAACTCATCAGCTCATTAGTCCCAACATTGCAACAGGCAGGCAGTGACTGGTTAAGCTCAATCTTCTCTAGATCTTTTTATCAAATTTACACTTAAAATTAAAAATTATAAAAAGAGAGGAACCTAAGGACCTTTTCTGAATTTTCACTTTTTAAATTTTTTACCAAAATATAAGCTTACATCTTGTGTGAAAGTCTCTCTCTGTTTGAGAAGGCTCCAGAAGGTCCTGGGGCTGGGGGAACCGAGGATGGAGTCACTGCCTCTGGTGCTCAGAGGGCGGCAGTTTCCGCCTGGCCTGTCCGACCTCTCCTCATCTCACCCTGCTCCTCTTCCCTCAGGATGTCCATGAGGAGCCCCATCTCTGCCAAGCTGGCTCTGGATGGCGTTGGCACCATGGTGAACTGTACCGTCAAACCAGAGGAGAAGAAGGAGACTTGCCACAAGCCTCCCCAGGGGTCAGCCACTGCAGCTGAACCCCAGCCTGGAGACCCAGCCCAGGCCCCCCAGGATGGCGCTGACCCCCAAGCTCCAGCCCAGGTGCCTAGCACTATCCCAGGGGTTCCTGGGTCAGTCCCCCCATTCCTGCTCTGTAGTCTCCCTTCTTGCCATACTTGGCTTTGCCACTAGGCTGAGATAGGCACCCACCCCTAGCTGGGCAGCAGGTGCAGCTAGAAAAGTTCATCATCAGGGCAGGAGGGACCTTAGGTGAGTAGGGAAGAGTTGCTAATGAGCTTAGTCTGAGGCTGGAAAGCAAGTCACCTGGCAAAGCAGGGCATAGACTCCCTCCTATGCTTAATCACCTCATGTTAACTGCTCACCTCAAACCAAACCAAACCAGTTGCTGCTGTGTCCAACTCATGGTGACCCCATGTGTGTTAGAGTAGAGCTGTGCTCCATAGGGTTTTCAATGGCTGATTTTTTAGAAATAGATCACCAGGCCTGTCTTCTGAGGCACATCTGGGTGGATTCAAACCTTCAACCTTTTGGTTAGCAGCTGAGAGTGCTAACCAATTGCTCCACCTGGGGACTCCTGCTGTTTACATATGTGCTAATAACACTGTGTCCAGCACTGGGGAACTTATTAAGACTAGTTTGGGGAGATGAGATAGGTGCACTGAAAGTGTGACTTAAAACCAGTTTTTCGTATGATTTGAAAAAATCAGCCATATTACCCAAAACACAAACTTACTGCCATTGAGTCGATTCCAACTCATTGCTACCCCTGTTGATTTTCCAAGGCTGTAATATTTATGGAAGCAGACTGCCTCATCTTTCTTCCATGGACTGGCTAGTGAGTTTGAACCACCGACCTTATGGTTAGCAGGCAAATGCCTTAACCACTGTGCCATCAAAGCTCCTTCCGTATTACCCAACTAAGAGTTAAATCATTGTTTAACATAATTCTCCATCCTTCAAAAGAGGAAGTTGAGCTACATGATCAGTAAGGATTCTTGCATCTCTTAAAAATTCTATGATGTAATACCAAACCAACCAACCAAACTCACTGCCATTGGGTCAATTCTGACTCATTGTGACCTCCATTGGGTTTCTGAGGCTGTAAATTTTTATGGAAGCAGATTGCTCCATCTTCCTTCTGGGGAGTGGCTGGTGGATTTGAACTGCTGACCTTCTGGTTAGCAGCCAAATGCCTTATCCACTATGCCACTAGAACTCCTTATGATTTCATACAGGAGGTATAAAATGGGGATATGCGAATATATGATTAAAAGGCAAATGAGTGGAAGTGAGACTTCGAGGGCTCTGAAGGATTCATTTAGATTTGGTCAGGAGGTAGTGGGAGGGGTAATGATCAAGGAAGACTTCCTGGAGGAGTAGGGCCTCAAGCTGGACCTTAAAGGATGAGGAGGACTTAGCTGAGAAGTCGGGAGAGGAGAGGGCTTCTTAAAGAATTGAGATTGGGACCCAATGAGAAACCAGCATGACTGGAGCAGCCGGTGTCTGCAAGGGAGTAATCATTAATAGCAGGCTTTTCGCCTGTGACTACCGTAACAACCCCCTCCACATGCATTAACTCCCTTGATCTCGTCAACAGTCCTGTGACGGGAGGTATGAGTATTTCCATTTTCAGAAGAGGAAAGTCAGGTTCAGAGAAGTTCAGAGACTCATGTGGGATCAAGCAGCTTGTGAGTCACCTATCCCAGATGGAAACCCAGGTCTTTCGTCTTGAAATCTTTTGTTCTTTTCATTGTATATCAAGTAAAGTCAGAGCAAAGACTGGGACTGTGGGGGAAGAGGAACCCTGCCTGCTGGAGCAACAAGGCTAGGTGGAGGGCATAGGGTCTCCTCAGGGCAGACCTCTCTGGGATGGTGCAACCCCCCTGCAGTCTGTGTCCCCTTTCTCTTGGAGGGGTGACAGTGACAATTCAGGGTGTCTTGCAGGATTGTAGCTCTCCAGAAAGCAATGGGTCCCCAGAACCCAAGAGACCAGGAGCTGCAGAGGCTGCTTCTGGAAGCCAGGAGAAGCTAGACTTCAACCGAAATTTAAAAGAAGGTAAGGTGTCCGCCTTAGATAATCAAGACAGGGGCTTGGGGCAGGGAGGTGTTGGGACAGTTGCTCCTGATTGCTCTGTTGTCTTGCAGTTGTGCCAGCCATCGAGAAACTGCTGTCCGGTGACTGGAAGGAGAGGTTTCTGGGACGGAGTTCTGTGGAGCCCAAAGATGTCAAAGGTGAAGGCTCTCATGGGTGGGCAGGGAGAGGTGTCTGAGTCCCCTTTCCTTGCTGTGATCCTGGCCTGGCCATGAGGCTGGGTCTGCAATTCCTGGGTAGTTTGCAATCTCGATAAGAGATTCTTGGTGCCCTCATGCCTGGCCTGTGCCATTCCGGGTCCTGCCTGGCCCTAGGGGTGTGAAAAACCTAAATGCTTAGAGAAACACTAAAAATCAGGGTAACAACATATTTATTGGGAGTAGATATGATTCAAATCAGGCATCCTCAACCCAAACATATCAGGAAGGGTCAACCCAAACATAAGGGTGGAGAAGGGCTTCTAAAGAAGGGGCAGTGAAAGCTGAAGGCAGGTAAAACAGATCATTGTCATGTTAATTTCCCAGGAGGCAGCAGCAGGGTTCCAGGCATTTGGATAAACAGTGTTACCAGGCATTTGGAGAAACAGTGTCACTAAGGATGTGCTGTGCAGTTTTCAACCAGACCCTAGGGTTCCTGCTCCCCAAAACTGGCTTCACATAGATCATTCTGTAAAAGAGCCCAATGCCTAAGGCTAAGCTGGTTACTGGGCTGTTGTATGGCTTGAAGGTGACCGTAAAAAAACAGTTCCTTAAAGGTTCAGGGTTCAAAAGGACACCTAAGGGCAGGTGGCCTGAGTGAGTCACCCCAACTTCATGGACCCAAAATTCCGAAGAATCAAAATGATTTTATCAGAGGTCACCACCGTCCCTTACCTGGGCCCCTAAGCATTAGGTTTCATTCATTCCCATGCAAAAGTGGCCTGGTGAGAATCAGATCCCATAGAGGCTTCAGGCTACCAGACCCTGTGACCTTGGGCATGTTTTTGCCACTTCCTGGCCTAACTGCAAAATGAGCCAAAATTTCCCTTTCACTACTAATAATTCGGGGCCACCAGAGCTTCATTAAGTGAATGAGAACCAAAACCAAAAAGCCAAACTACTGCCATCGAGTCAATTCCGACTCCTAGCACCCCTGGAAGACAGAGTAGAACTGCCCTATTGGGTTTCCAAGGCATAAATCTTTAGGGCAGCAGACTGCCTCATCTTTCTGCCGAGGAGAGGCAGCTGGATTCGAACCGCTGACTTTTTGGTTCGGAGCCAAAATGCATTAACCACTGTACTACCAGAGCTCCTTGAGATAATGAGAAGTGCTTATTAAAAGGCTGCTGCTTAGGTTCATTAGAATGACAGGTTTTTTTAACTGATCATCACACCCACAGAGGGAATTTTAAAACAGTGCAGATGCCCAGGCTCCACCCTCACCTTCCCCAGGGAAGGGGGCCTGTCCTCTACTTTCCAGTCTTTGCCTGAGTGATTCTAATGCAAATGAGCTACAGCCTGAAGCTCAGAAGTAAACAGTTGTAACAAATAATTGCATCAGACAATTAGCTAAATTGGAGGACCAAGAAGCACTAACAGTTACTGGTTGAGAGCCATGTACCAGACTAAAGGCTAAGAGCTTTCCATACAGTCATCTCATTTAACCCTATAAAGTAGCTATTACCGTACTCATTTACAGATTAATTAAAGTGCTGACAAGGTCTGTAACTTGCCTAACAGCTCACAGGCGGCATGGGTTGAAATGAGATTTGAACCTAGGTCTGTCTTGCTACAAAGCCTGTGCATGTCCTTCTGCACCCACTGTGTGACAGTTGTCCACGCTGACCTTGTGGCACTGCACAGGCGGGGCTGGGTGCTCAAGGGGCAGGTCTGGTGCTGAGATGGCCCCTTGTCAGAATTTCCAGGGCCTGCAATGGCCCTTAGTCACCCTTGAAGCCTGGAACTAAACTCACCCCCATGGTTCAACTTTCAGCCAAACAATAGACAGACCTATAAAGTGCACAATAATACCAGGAAAGTATGCCCTTCTTAGAACAATCAGCCATACAAGATCAAAAGGGCAGCATTTGCCTAGGGATAAAGCTCAGAAGGTAGGAAGGGATTGGAAAGATGGACAAATGGAAATGGCAAACAAGAAGAGGAAGTGGGAAGAGTGCTATTACATTGTGGGAATTGCAATCAATGTAAAGAATCAGAATGTATATGAATGTATGTTGTTGTTGTTTTTGTTGTTATGTGCCATCGAGTTGGACCCGACTCATAGCGACCCCTCCTTGGGTTTCCGAGGCAGTATCACTACGGAAGTAGATTGCCCCATCTTCCTTCCGTGGAGTGGCTGGTGGGTTTGAACTGCCAGCCTTCTGGTTAGCAGTCAAGTGCCTCAGGCACTATGCTACCAGAGCTCCCATATGAATGTATATGAACTGTTAAATGGAAAACCAATTTGTTCTGTAAACTTTCACCCAAATCACAATAAAAAGTTCAAAAAAGAAAAAGAAGAAGAATTTTCTAGGGCCTAGAGTTGATGTCAAATGATGGAGAAGTTCTAGGCCCAGCTGGTTGTCAGTTCACGGTGAGGAACCCCCTCCGGAGCAGAGGGACCTCTCACAGGGGCCTAAGACATAGCAGTTACTCCATAAATGTCAGGTAGATGGATGGATGGACAGATGAACAAGTGCAAAACCTCATTTGTGTCTTTTTTGCTCTGGGGCAGGGACCCAGGAGAGCCTGGCAGAGAAGGAGCTCCAGCTTTTGGTCATGATCCACCAGCTGTCCACCCTGCGGGACCAGCTCCTAACAGCCCACTCAGAGCAGAAGAACATGGCAGCCATGCTCTTTGAGAAGCAGCAGCAACAGATGGAGCTGGCCCGGCAACAGCAGGAGCAGGTAGGCCCAGCTTGGTGTCTGGCTGTCTTTCCAGGGGAGAGCTCTGTTGGGTTCTGGAGAAAAGTACCTTGGGGGCCAGCCTAGCCAGTGCAGCAGGGGCTGTGGACAGGAGCTGTAGGGTTCCCACCTCTGGCTGATTCACAGGCCCCTGGAGTAGTGGGGTAGGGTGGTGGCGGGATGTTGAACGGACTTTGCAGTAAGAGTAGCTGACAGCTTCCTGCCCAGGACACATCCTTGGTCCTCTGAGGCAAGGATGAGCTCTCCACAAAAGGAGAATAAATTTTGAGAATAAATTTTTGTTCTGGCCCCTGCCCTGCCCTGCCCTCTTTCAATGGTTTGCCCCAGTGAGGAGGACAGGGTTGGGGAGAGTGGGGAAGGTGGCTCTATGGGAGCCAGGGGCACTCTGAGCCTAATGTCCACAACCTCTTGCCCACTCTTTTCCCTCAACCAGATTGCTAAGCAGCAGCAACAGCTAATCCAGCAGCAGCATAAGATCAACCTCCTTCAACAGCAGATACAGGTAAAGAGAGGGGTGAGTTGGGAAGAGCAAGAGGGCCGGGGGGTTGATACCAGCCTGCAGAGGTGCCAGGGGAGGGAGGAATGGGGATGTGGATTAAGCTAGAGTCAGCAGAGCAGGATCACTGGAGCAAGGCCCTAAGGAGGGAGCTGTCATATCCGTTCTAGCCCCTTTCCCAGTCTTTTTTTTCTATTTTATGGAAGGGGCCTAGAGTGTCTTCCTCCCTAGGTAGGAATTGAGGGAGGGTAAATAGGGGCTCCTTTAGGTGCTGTGGGGTCAGGTAGACTCTTTTGAAGACTTTCTCTGCCATTTACCCTCTGCTTCTCATTGGTGGAAGGAGCTCTGGTGGCACAGTGCCTAAGGCATTTGACTGTTAACCAGAAGGTTGGCAGTTCAAACCCACCAGCCACTCTGTGGAAGGAAGATAGTGAAATCTACTTCCTTAAAGATCTACCACTTTGGAAGACCAGTGGGGTTCCCTAGGAGTTGGAACTGACTCGATGGCAGTGGGTTTGGTTTGGTTTGGTTTTCTCATGGGTGCATCCTGCACTGACCACTGCTAGGTAGCTCTTTGGGTCCCTGGGAACTCACACAGGGTTCCTTCACCTTCAGCAGGTCAACATGCCTTATGTCATGATCCCAGCCTTCCCTCCAAGTCACCAACCTCTGCCTGTCACCCCCGACTCCCAACTGGCTTTACCTATTCAACCCATCCCCTGCAAACCAGGTGAGTATATGTGGGGAGGGATCCCACCACCAGGGCTGGCTAGTTGTGAAGAGGTCAGGAAGGGACTCCGAAACTGTTCTCATCCATTAGTTTGCTGTGTGGCCTTTCTGGGCCTCAGTTCTGGATCTGTCTAGTAGAAGAGTAATTCTTTCTTTCTAAACTTCACTGGAAGAATGAAAAGAAGTAGGATTTTGGAATCATTAAGTGCTTGTGAGATGTAAGATGATGTAGCCCATCTGGGGCTTATCTCCCCAGTTCTGGTACCTGAACCATTAACTCTATTGAACAATCTTAAATATTAACTGAGACTTAACACTGCTCCCAAATTCTAACAGCTGGCATTTCTACCTTCACACTCTTTTTCCTGCCCTGGGCGTGTCACTTGTGCCTTCTCCCAATCACTGAGATTCAGCGGACACAGGCAGAGCACTCTCCGTGTGTCATTCGCTGCAGTGCTTGGGCGGCTGCGGCAGTGACTAAACAAGGTCTTTGAGCTCCAGCAATTTATAGTCTGGGGAGGAAGAAGGAGAAGGATAGTAATAACTGGGGAACCAAGGAAGGCATCTTGGGGAGGCAAGTTTGATCTGGTCCTGGGAGAATGGGTAGGACTTGTGAGGGTGACATTGCAGCTGAGGGTAGAGGATACCAGAAAAGGCTGATCCCATCAGGGACCCCAGGTCCTAGGCAGGGAGTGTCAGGGAGGGTTGAGAGAGTAATGTCAGTGGTAGTGGGACATAACTGGGAGGTTAGTTGGGGCTGGAGCATGGAGCTTGGAATTGATTCTGTAGGACATAGAACACATTTGACCAATTCAGTAGAGAATGTGTGGTCAGTCTGGCTGTGGGATGATAAGGAATGGAGGGGGGACTGTCTGGAGGCAGGACCAGGTCGAGGGATATTGAGGTAATTCTAGTGATTAGGGGTGACAGCTGGAGTAGAGCAGTGACAGTGAGGCTGGAGACAGAATTAATAATCTGATAGCATAGTGTCTAAGGCACTTGACTGCTAACCAGAAGGCTGGTGGTTCAAACCCACCAGCCACTCCTTAGATGGAAGATGGGGCAATCTACTTCTATAGTGATACTGCCTCGGAAACCCAAGGAGGGGTCACTAGGAGTCAGGTCCGATTCGATGGCACATAACAACAACAACAATAATGAAGGGTTATAGGGACAGGGCAGAGACATTGCCCATATCTGGCCCAGGAGTGTGAAATGGCTTTCAAGTCAACCTCCTCTGGTCCATCCTCCCTATTCCACCAATGAGAAAGAGCTTGAAGGCCATGGGTGTGCACTCATTGGTCAGCACCACTGACCTAGGCCTACACCTGGCTGGCATCAAGGGCTATGGTGAAGGGGAAGCTCAAGGGAATGAAAAAGTCAGGCTCTGTGTTGAAGGATGTTTCTGTTTAGCTGAGGGGAACCAGGAAAAGGGGAGGGATGATGGTGGAAGAGGGGGCGATGGCACAAAACCATTGCAACTCTAGACAACTATGGAGCAGAGCTGTGGAGTTGAGGAGGGCAGAGGCCTGGTCAAGGAGGGTCCGTAGAATGCTTTCTGGAGCCCGTGAGCAGGAAATAAGCTGTAGGATAAAGGCCAGGATGGGCAAGTCGTCCTCCTGTGTTGTTTGCTCCAGAATCCTAGCAGGCAGGGGGCCAGTAGGCTGCCAGGCCCACCTTCCTAAAGCTGAGTGAGAATAATGCCAGCTCTCAGGCCTCAGAAGGTGCCCCACTCCCTACGGCAGAGCCCAAACTCCCAAGCTTACCATTCAAGGGAGGCAGATCGGACCTCGCACACGGGCCTAGTTTTATTTCTCATCTCTCCTTTACACCCTGTGATTCCATCTTGGTCTGTCCTGAGGGCACCAGCTCCCATCGCACTCCCCCAGGAAGCCTGTTCTAGCCACCCCAGCTGGAACAAACTTCTCTGGCTTGCTACCTGAGCTGCCCATAGCACCACCTGCCATGTAGTTAGTGATTGGTATACATGGCTGTCCTCCATCTAAACTGTCAGCTCCTTAAAGTTGGGCCTGGTTGAGGGTGAGTGAGGCAGGGTAGGTGGAAGAGAGAGAGTACCATGTAGAGGGGATGGGCTGTGACGTCTAGAGGACCTGGGTTCAAATCCTGGTGCTGCCATTATGAACCATATGAGCAACCCATTTAATTCCCTTGGGTCTCAGTTTCTTTATCTATAAAATGGGCTGATGATGTATTGAGAAGTGCTACACAGCATGTAGCTACTTTTTTACTTGCACACAGTTGGTATAAAATAGAAACATAGTAGGATGAATAGATGGTTCACCCTCTCGTTTCACCATTGGATTGGGACTCCTGTGTCTGGGAAACTCTTCAGAGTAGGAGGGGGAAGGGTAGGAGCAGGGTGAAGATGTCAATCGAGTGATCGGGGTGCAAGGACAGTGGGGGATGAGGGGATGGGAGGTCTCTACTGGCACTCTGGGGCTGGGAAGGGCAGTTGTTGGAGCCAAGCTGGGCCAGCCCTGAGCCTCTGCCCACCTTGTGGTGCCGGGACCTCGTCAAGCAGCGTGTCTGCTGTTCTGTGCTCATCCAGGACTTTTCTCCTTGCCGCCTTTTCCATAGTGGAGTATCCGCTGCAGCTGCTGCACAGCCCCCCTGCCCCAGTGGTGAAGAGGCCTGGGGCCCTGGCCGCCCACCACCCCCTGCAGGTACTGCCCTTGCTCAGCTGGCCTGGGACACTCTCCCTAGCATATGATGGCTGGCTGCCTCCCTAGGGGAATGTGGGGGGTGTGGAATGGTGAACCCCTGGAATCCTTTGTTCTTGTTCATCTACTCTATCTCTCTTCTTCTATCTCCTTGTCTCTTGTGGGTATGCTGGTCTTTTTGTGTCATCATTTGTCCCCTCTGCCCCTCTTTGGGGGTTTCCTTTGTATCTCACCCTCTGACCTTCTGGGTCTCCTTCAGGAGCCCTCCCAGCCCCTGAACCTCACAGCCAAGCCCAAGGCTCCCGAGCTGCCCAACACCTCCAGCTCCCCCAGCCTGAAGATGAGCAACTGTGGACCCCGCCCACCCAGTCATGGGGCCCCCACGCGGGACCTGCAGGCAAGCCCCCCCAGCCTGCCTCTCGGTAAGCTTTCTGTCTTCTGCATCTTTTCCTTTGCCTCTTACCAGGGGAGAGCAAAGGAGGCATGACATGACTGTAACTGTCTCTGCGTTACAGTTCTTGTGAATCAAGGCATTATGCTAGCTCCCTTACGCCCCTTTTAGTTCCAACATTCAGTGTCTCATGAAGCTTCCTACTCTTCACTTTCCCTTCCAATATGGATCTGGGCATCCAGCCACAGAGTTCCACAGCTCCAGGGGCTGCTATTCACATCTTAGTCTGCTGGAGCTGTCTAGGAGCCAGTGTTAATGGCGGCCCCTTGGAGAAGCAGCAGCCCTGGGGAAAGGCAGGGGGTCAGAGTGCTAACTTACAGGTGGGCTCGGCATGAAGGCTGTGGGAGGGGAAATGCAGCAGCGTTGAGTTTGCTCCTGGGCTCAGTGGACCCCTTCAGCTCTCTCTTCCCTCTCCCTCACCTTTCCCAATAGGCTTTCTTGGTGAAGGTGACGCCGTCACCAAAGCTATCCAGGATGCTCGACAGTTGCTGCACAGCCACAGTGGGGCCTTAGAAAACTCTCCCAACACTCCATTCCGTAAGGTATGAGCCCCAGCTCTCTTGGACCTGGGAGAGTGGACAGATGGTGGCCAGTGGTGGGAAACTCAGAGTCTGAGGCCACCAAAAAGAGAGGCAGTGAGGGGAGGCAAAGGGGTTGCTGTACAAGTTGCCCCTATCCACCCCAGGACCATATCAGCCTGGACTCATCCCCAGCCAAGGAACGGCTGGAGGAGAGCTGTGTGCACCCACTGGAAGAAGCCATGCTGAGCTGCGACATGGATGGTGAGGGCCCCGGGCATGGGGCTGACGGGCAGGACGGCCCGCTGCTGCTTCCACACCAGGGCCAGGGTGGGTCATGTCCTATCTGTCCCCGATCCTTTCACTCCCTCATTGCATCTGTGGTGTTTTCTCTCAGCATGGGTGCCTATGTTGTCCTGTTACTGTTGGCTGTCTCCTTGTCTGCCTTCCCACATCTCATGACTGCAGGGCCTCTGCTCTAACTCCTGAGGGGCCCTGAAGCCTTGGCTCCCTTGTGTATCTGTCCTTTGTCTGTCTCTTGGGTCCCTGGCTAAGCCTCTGCTGATGTCTTGCTGCTGACTGTTGGTTTTCTCTGCACCCTCTTCTCCTGCCTTGCTTGTCCTGGGTTTGCCACCTTGGGAGCCTCCCTAGCACCTCCTAGTGGTCAAATGGGGGCCACCTATTTTCTCCCACCCTGGGTAGATTCTTCAGCCTAGACAGGCCACCCAGCTGACTTAATCCCTGTCCCCTAGGCTCCCGCCACTTCCCCGAGTCCCGGAACAGCAGCCACATCAAGAGGCCCATGAACGCCTTCATGGTGTGGGCCAAGGACGAGCGGCGGAAGATCCTCCAAGCCTTCCCAGACATGCACAACTCTAGCATCAGCAAGATTCTTGGTGAGGGCCAGTAGGTGGGGCTCCAGGGGCCACGGCCCAGCTGGACCAGGGGTGATATTCCACCCCATGTTGAACTCTGGTGGAATCTGATGAGGTGGCGGGAGTCAGGGGAGGTGTAGGGGCAGCTGGGCCCTGGGGTCTCATTCCATTGTAGGGGTCTTCTGGTAGCACCTTTGCCCAAGAACATACCTAAGGGCCAAAAGTTGTGTGTGTGCATTCTTTAGCCCCCCAATCTCTCCCTAAACCCTTTCCACTCTTTGCCCAGACCCTTAGAGTGGGCTTTGGCAGGCAACAGGAAAGGCTAATGTTCTTGGGTTGTCAATGGAAAGGCTTTATAAATTACATGTCCTAACTGGAGGCCTCCAAGGAGAGGTGTAGAGCAGCAGGACGAGTAGGGCTGGGAGAGGGCAGTGGTTTGCAAGACTGAGGCTTTTCCAGTGTTAGTACGGGTCCCTTGTCAACTAAAACCGGGTATTTTGTCCTGAGCAGGAAGCCTGTTTGGGTTTTGGGGGCCTGGGGTGACTGCTCTTTTGTTTATGCAAACCAGGCTGACCAGAGACTTAGGAGCAACTGGAGTTTCTGGGCTCTTTGGGAGGCGGGTAGCAACTGGGTGCACATATACATGCAACTTCATGCTTTTGCACAACATCCAAGGATGTGCTCGTACCTATTATTACTTTATCTGCCTGGGGGTCAAAGTCTCCTTGGGGACTCCAGGGCCTGCAGGGGGTGGGGGCAGTGGGATGGGCCCAGCACTGACAGCCTGCACCGGGGCTGGGCCAGGCTCCCGCTGGAAGGCCATGACGAACCAGGAGAAGCAGCCCTACTACGAGGAGCAGGCGAGGCTGAGCCGGCAGCATCTGGAGAAGTATCCTGACTATAAGTACAAGCCGCGACCCAAGCGCACCTGCATCGTGGAGGGCAAGCGGCTGCGAGTAGGCGAGTACAAGGCTCTGATGAGGACCAGGCGCCAGGATGCCCGCCAGAGCTACGTGATCCCGTAAGCAGGCCCTGCCCAGGCAGCTGTGTGTGCGTGTGTGTAGCAGCTCATGTGAGTGAGGCCTGGTGGGAGTTGAGAGGGGGAGGAGGTGAGGGTGGATCTGTAACTGTGGCCCTTCTTGGCCCCTCAGCCCACAGGCCGGCCAAGTACAGCTGAGTTCCACGGATGTCCTGTACCCTCGGGCAGCAGGCATGCCCCTGGCACAGCCCCTGGTGGAGCACTATGTGCCTCGAAGCCTGGACCCCAACATGCCTGTCATTGTTAACACCTGCAGCCTCAGGGAGGAGAACGAGGGTGCCGAGGACAGGCACTCAGTGGCTGATGGCGAGATGTACCGGTACAGTGAGGATGAAGACTCAGACGGCGAGGAGAAGAGTGACGGGGAGTTGGTGGTGCTCACAGACTGAACTTGGCTGGGTGGGCTGGACTCTTCTTTCCTTGGAGAAGACCTTGCCCTGACCCAATGGTCACAGCTAGCCGACCTGGACTATGTTGGTACTTAGACTTGGGCATGTCCGGGAGATGGACACAGCTGTGCACCTGTAGATACATTCATGAGGGGAGTTGCCCCCTCCCCACCACACTTGCAGGCACACTTAGGGGCTGGTTGTCGGCCTAGGTGGGCAGGGCCTGCATGGTGGGGATGGGCTGAGCTCTTTGGTCCTTGGGGCCCGTGACCAGGGATCCACCCATCTGGGGGTATGGCAGCTACAGACCTGTCCTCCTGGGACCACATGCTTTTTGCCTCCATTCTTATCCCGGCTGGACCAGCCACCATGGGACCAAGATTCCCTTCCACACTTCCCCCACTTCCCCCCAATCTTTCCTCTGTCTGCAGGATCACTTTGTACTTTGTGCAGAAAGGCTTGGCTGTCCCTTTCTTTTTCTTATTCTGCCAAGTCCAGTGTGCTTGTGGCTGCTCTGTGTGTGTGTATGTGTGTGCGCGTGTGTGTTCATCTGTTCATTCTCTGCACAGAATATTTATTGAATGCCCACTCCATGTCAGGCACTGTTGCTGAGTTCCTGTAGGTGTCTCTTGATGCCACTCTTGCTTCTCTGGGGGCCACTTTCTGTGCTTCTCTGTGTCCCCAAATTGCTACCTCTCTGTCAGTCTGGGTGTCTCAGGTTTTGTGTGCCCTTGCGTGTATCTCTTTTGTCTTGTCTCTCTGCGGGGCCCTCTTTTCCTCTCTCCCTTTCTGGGTGTCTGTCCTTGCCCCTCTGACACCCTCTGGAGTCTCTGTGGGCCCCTGGTGTGGGCCTTAGCCTGGGCCATCACCCTCCCTGACCTCCTCCTGCCCCTTCACTCCCTGCCTGTCTCTGCCAGTCCGTTCCCCCAGAGCCATTTTTAGCTCTGAGCAGCATGGGAACATGTCTTAGCTTCCAAGGGGCTTTGTCCTGGTGCCCCAGCCCCTGGTCCCAACTTGAGGCCCAGGAGTAGGGGCAGGAGGATTGACGGTGCACCCTTCCTGTCAGTGATGGAAGCCCTGGAGAGCAGGGATCTTGGTAGCAACTGGCCTCCTCATAGGCTGTGGGTGGGGACGCTCCCCATTTTTGGAAGGGGTTGGTGAGGAGAGGACTCAGGCTACCTCCTTTGTCCTCCCCACCCACCCCTGCTCCCCTGCCCTTTTTCCTCCCCCCTCCTCCCACTCCACACTAGGGAAAGTGTCTGCCCCTGATCAGCCCCACAAGTTATTTCCCTATGAAAATAAAATCCTTTGGAGCCTCCAAAGATCCAGAGCAGCCCTAGGGTCAGGGTGGGAAGGGAGGACCTCCTCATCCCACAGAGGACACACGGGGAGCCCGTTCCTGCACCCCATCTTTTCCCTCCCTCCTGCCCTCAGCAACTCCTCTCCAAGTCCCAACTTCTCCAGGCTGTTTCTTTTTTATGACTGTAAACATAGATAGTGCTTTATTTTGTTAATAATAAGATAATGATGAGTAACTTAACCAGCACATTTCTCCTGTTTACACTTGGGGGGATGGGGAGGGGATTTTTTTTTTGTGTGTGTTCTGTTGGCATAATAAAGACAGACCATTTCAGAATCTGGCCCTTGTGTGGGGGCTGGGGGAGGAGAGGCTGGCCTAATCCCAGAATTCTTAAATGGGCTCCTAGCCCAGGCATCAGGAGCTCTGATAGCGTAGTGCCTAAGGCACTTGACTGGTAACCAGAAGGCTGACAGTTCAAACCCATCAGCCACTCCTTGGAAGGAAGGTTGGGCAATCTACTTCAGTAGTGATAAAAAACCCCTCAAACCCAAGGAAGGGGTCGCTATGAGTTGGTCAACTTGATGGCAAATAACAACAGCCCAGCCATCACTGCCCCCTGGTGGAAGCTTGCAGGAGCTTCAGATGTAGGGCCTGGGAGGAACCAGCCTAGGAGAGGGAGGTCAAGCCTGGGGAGTGCCAGACTCCCCGCAGAGCCCACACTGAATGCATGACATACACACATGCCCATCCAGGTTATAAGAAAGAGGGCTGTGGCAAGAGCATTGTATAGGAGTCCAGAAGCCTGGGTTGTTGCCCAAACTAGCCTCCTGGCCTTGAGGGAGTCAGGTCTCCCCCTGGGTCTTAATGTCTTCATCTGAAAATAAGCCTTATCCATGGCTCTTTTGGAGAAGCAGCCCTTTGAGACTGTAAAGAAAGCTGTGGGTCTTCAGCTCAGAAAAAGGCTCCCAGGCACACCCCGTACCCCCAATGCTTATTAGTCAACTAGGTCTCTAATGATGGACTTCAGGGCTCTATGACGCTATGTTTTGAATGAGGATTCAAAAACCTGCATATCACACTAGGAGAAACAGCAGTACAATGGCCTGAAAGGGATGGTTGAGAGACTGAAACTCTCAAAATGCCTAATAACATGGATGGATAAAAAAGACTCTCTTTGGTTAAAAAATTAATCCCACTAGTATGGCATGGGGGCAGCAAAGCTGAATGGCAGTTCTTGTGAAAGAGCTGGACTTGCTAATGGTAGTGATCCAATCTTGTGCTGGATTAATAAAGGCTTGTGTCTACAGGGGAGGTGATAGGCACCACACAGGCCTGCCTGGTCCCAAGCACATCAGGCTAGTTCTAGCCCTCTAGACAATAGAAAGACCGTTGTCAGACTAGAGCGGTCGTTTGGACATAGAGGAGTGGTCAAAAGGACCAGGGATGTTTAGTCTAGAAAAGAGGAGACTAGGATAGGGCAAGAGAGACAAGATCACTTTCTTCAACACTGCCAGGCACACAAGGGCATTGGTGTTCTTAGAGGACATTGTCCATGGTCAATATTCTGGCTTAATATAACATTTCACCAAAGATGTCTAAAAGTGGTAGCAAACTTCCCAACACAAGAAGTATTCGAGAAGCAACCCAGACCCTCTTGAACAAAAGAAAGAAAAACCAATAGAGAGAGATACAGAAGATAATCCCAGAGTCCTGAGTTTTGAAAGGAACTATATAGAAGTGGATTAGGCACCAATTAGTGGAAAAAACCTGAACAAAAACAGTGAGTACAGAGATGGTCGATGCTGCGAACTATCAGCTACTCTGATGGGACCAACAGCCTGAATAGTTCCAAGTGGTGTGGGGCCTGAGAATTGACCTAAAGATCAGCCCTGGTCACCAAGGGCCGCAGGGATGACTGTGCCTGGTGGCCAATGACTAGGAAGGGAGACAGCAAGGTGGGAGACAACCTGAGCTGATGACTTTTCGCTGT